GTCTAGTTGAGTTTTTACCAAAAAGTTCTATTTTGGTTTCATCTGACCATATGACATTCTCCCAATCCTCTTCTGGATCATCTAAATGCTCTCTAGCAAACTTCAGACGGGGCTGGACATGTACTGGCTTAAGCAGGGGGACACGTCTGGCACTGCAGGATTTGAGTCCCTGGCGGCGTAGTGTGTTACTGATGGTAGCCTTTGTTACTTTGGTCCCAGCTCTCTGTAGGTCATTGACTAGGTCCCCCCGTGTGGTTCTGGGATTTTTGCTCGCCGTTCTTGTGATCATTTTGACCCCACGGGGTGAGATCTTGCGTGGAGCCCCAGATCGAGGGAGATTATCAGTGGTCTTGGCTGTCTTCCATTTTCTAATAATTGCTCCCACAGTTGATTTCTTCACACCAAGCTGCTTACCTATTGCAGATTCAGTCTTCCCAGCCTGGTGCAGGTCTACAATTTTGTTTCTGGTGTCCTTTGAAAGCTCTTTGGTCTTGGCCATAGTGGAGTTTGGAGTGTGACTGTTTTGAGGTTGTGGACAGGGGTCTTTTATACTGATAACGAGTTCAAACAGGTGCCATTAATACAGTTAACAAGTGGAGGACAGAGGAGGCTCTTAAAGAAGAAGTTACAGGTCTGTGAGAGCCAGAAATCTTGTTTGTTTGTAGGTGACCAAATACTTATTTTACCGAGGAATTTACCAATTAATTCATTACAAATCCTACAATGTGATTTCCTGGATTATTTCCCCCCATTCTGTCTATCATAGTTGAAGTGTACCTAGGATGAAAATTACAGGCCTCATCTTTTTAAGTGGGTGAACTTGCACAATTGGTGGCTGACTAAATACTTTTTTGCCCCACTGTATATATATATGTGTTCAGATTTCTACTGTGTGTTTTTGAATTTGGACTGAAACCCTTCAATGTTTTTTCTGTTCTGAAGGATACAGTCATTTGACAGGCTCTGTCCATGTGTAAAATAGGTCTAATAACAATGCAATTACGGTGTAATATGGTTGTTATATTTATGTTACATAGGTGCAATACTGATGTTACTTGGGTGATATATGGGTCAACTAACAGTGTAATATAGGTGTAATAATAGTGTATCATGGGTGTAATAAGGGTGTATTAAGGGTGTAATGGCAATCAATCAATTTTCCAAAATATTTATACATTGGCCATTTAATGGTTAAGTAAGTTTACATTTTTAAAGAAGAAGCTTGTTTCCTACAACAAGCAACAAGGAGATTAATTAATTATAGATCAGAAAGTGGTCATGATGATAAATAATATCTGTGTTTCAGGTATCTGATGAGAACAGTGAAGCATCCCATCCTGCTGAAGGATCCCAACGTGCTGCAGTTTCTGGAGAGCTCAGAGGTAACTGATGAACCATTCCTCCTTGTTTTCCTACAGAAAGGATGTAGGTTCAGTTCTTACTGCCCGACCTCTTTTTAATGCCACTGGCAAATTTCGAAAGACCAGTCAGCCTTTAACAGTCTGCTTTGATAGTTACAAACTTCTTCTTTCGCCAAAAATAGCCAAAAAATAAGTTTGTCCCCTAATGTCTTTTCTGAAAAGTTGAGATACTTTAAACCCAAACACAAACACTTTGGAGCGCTCAGGAAAAGAAGCTGGGAGCAGGACTTTTTCTCGAGGCAATAGAGAGGCGAAGTCCCGCCCTTCTACTTCCGCCCCATGGGACCTTATTTCGGAAAAATTATGTATTGAAGTCAATGGGGAGAGAAAGATTATCTTTCGATCCCGTTTGAATTGTGCCACGAATTACACATGATGTTTGTCAATCTTAAAAAATAATTTCCATGTAAAAAAAGTCACAGTTTGTCGTAGAACACGCAACTAGAAAGACTACAAATCCCAGAGTCGCGTAAGTGATGTCATTAACGTTACACATTACACTCGTGTTACTCACCGAAACCTTATAAAGCCGGTCCCGCATGCTGGCTCTTACAGAACCGACTAACTCCCCTTGTGTGTATGTACAGCTCTCAACATACCCAGCCTTGTAATGATTTTCACCTCTTTTAATACTTTTCGCCTCATTCTGAAAGAAAGAGGTGAAATGTGGTAACGTGACGGCCATCTTGGTGTTGGTGACGTGTGCGAGACCAGAGATGTAGGTCATTGAGCGGTCTACTTCCCAGTTTTACGACACATTTAAAAAATGTTGACCTGCAAAATTATCTATAAAATTGACAAACATCATATGTGTAATTTGTGGCACAATTCAAAGGGGATCAAAACATAATCTTTCTCTCTCCATTGACTTCAATACATAATTTTTCCGAAATAAGGTCCCATGGAGGTCCACCGGAAGGGGAGGGACTTTGCCTCTCTATCACTTGTGGCGCTATGCACTCACTCCCCATTGGAAACAATTGAAAAAAGACTCCGGTGCTAAAAACTTACGTTATGTAGACACAGGCCCTCACTCTTGAAAAAATAACTGATGGACTTTCTGAAATGGGGGGAAAGCCAAATAACTAACCCCCCCAAATAACAGCAAAAACTCTGTCTGAGTTTTCTTCACGTCTTTTTCCCAACAAGCAGCGGAACGTCCGGACGAGGTCAACCCAACGCGCCTGTAAAAACTGCCTTCGGGTTTAAGAGTCTGGCATTTCCTGTTTCCTCGTTTTATTGTCCACTCAGACTAAATTCTCTGTAACACTTCGTCTCGTTGGCTCTAACTGTCCCCCTCCTCACCCCAGTCCCTAGCCCCCTGCTCTGCCTAACAGTTGGTGGGATTGCGTTGGGAAGGAGCCACAACATAAATGGCCCCTTGTCACAGATTTAACAGATGAATCACTCGGACGCTTGACCGAGCATAGCGCTCCGTCCGGCCCGCTAAATGAAACACAACCAGAGGACGGGGGACGGGGGGGGGGGGGGGACTTGTTTGCAATTCAAAGCTATATTTACCCCCCCACCTTTACTCATTTACCCTCCGAGGGGCCTTTGGGACCAAGCCGTCCCCCTGGCTGCTGCCGCTCCACCTAAATTAGATTGGAAGGGGGGGGGGGTAAATGTGCTCCAGCGATGGAGGAAAACGTTGCATGTCCGGGAGAAAAGTAAACTTTTCCAAAATGAAGAAAAATGAGCCTATTTTCAGACGGACATCGGGGCGTTTTTAGAGTGACGCGATGGGGTCTTAGCTGGGTTTTGGGGCTGTTAAAGTTGCTCGGCACGCTTTAAATCTGACTGGAATTAGAACGTGGGACACATTACAATCAGGGGGGGGGCAGCTGTAATAGAGTTAGACAGAGGCGAGAAGACAAAACAAGAGCAAATAAATGTAGTTAAGATATAGATTGAAACAGAGAGAGAGAGGGGATATTAAGGGAAGACAAAAATAAAATGTTAAAAATCTAAAGGTTGAACTAGAAACGGCAACGAAACAAATGTGAAAGATGGCACTCTAAAATATCTACATAAATTAAAGATCAATTAAACACTTTAACTGCAGGAAATTAAATCACCATTTGAGACAAGATGTTTAAAACAATGAGAAAATGAGCGAATGACTCACAAAGAAAGCATCAAAAGAAATAGAAACATTAACACTGGAAAAAACCAACAAGCTGATATTTACACGTTTACAACAGCAATGGTAAAGTGTAGATAAAGCCAAAAGGAAAACGAGTAAAATTACATATTAAATAAAGAGGCAAGCCCACAAAGAGCTAAATGAGAAAATACTCAATCACAACCGGCAAAACGTTGGCGGAACAACCTCCTCTGCTGCATGTCCCAGATACTGCAAGAATTTAATTGGAGGAATCTTGTTTGTTGCTTTGTTTTAACATTGTTTCGCCTGCCGTCTTGTAAGCACACTTGTCAAAGTATTAATTCATGGTTTTTCATAACTTTTATCAGTATGGTGTTATATCGGCATCATTTTGTGAGTGTATTACATAAATTAAATCACGGCAAAATATGTTAATATTCTTGTTTGTGTTATCTACATGGAGCTAAGGCTATGCATTTATTAAGTGTCCATAATACACAGGAATATTTCTTGTAACTCTAGATCACATTCTGTCTGGCAACACTTCTGTTGTAGTGTACTCTGCTGATGTTTATTGTCTGATAAAGCTTAAAGTCTAGGTGGAAAAAATAAAGAGGCAAGCACACAAAAAAAAGCACACAAAAAAAAGAAAAGTTACTCTATGGTAAAGAAATAAGTTGCCATCTGTTGCAGTCTGTATTGTGTGTGGTGGTCTGCCAGGGGCCGGGGGTCGCTGTAAAGTCTGACATCCTGTTTGTTTATTTGTTGTTGTTTGGTCCAGTTGCCGCGGGCGGTCAGCACTCAGGCTCTGAGCAGCGCCGGTCTCCTGCGGATGGTCAACAAGGCCGCAGAGGCCGTCAACAAGATGACCATCAAAATGAACGAGTCAGACGCTGTGAGTACAGAGAGAGGATAGAAGGGAGGAAGAATTTTTAAAAAGGGGAATAAGGATGTAGAGGAGAAGGGAAGGAAATAACCAGAGGAATATGAACTGATGAAGCAGGTACAGGTAGCGTCGAAAGGAAGAGGAAAGAAAGGAAGTGAGTAAACATGTAAATAAAGTTAATATGAGGGTATGAAGAAATGCTGAAGGTAACAAAGGAAGTGGTGAAAGTTAAGTAAAAAGGAAAAGTGTGTGTGTGTGTGTGTGTGTGTGTGTGTGTGTGTGTGTGTGTGTGTGTGTGTGTGTGTGTGTGTGTGTGTGTGTGTGTGTGTGTGTGTGTGTGTGTGTGTGTGTGTGTGTGTGTCTTTCAGTGGTTTGAGGAGAAGCAGCAGCATTTTGAGAACCTGGACGTTCAGCTGAGGAAACTTCATGCCAGTGTGGAGTCTCTGGTCTGTCACAGGAAAGGTATAATGACGACTGGACGTCGTAGGGTGTGTGTTTGTGTTTCAAATGACTTCCCAATGATCGCAGTGGGAATTTCGTTAACAAGAATTCTGACTAAATGTTCCCTTTCAACGTGATGGCACCGCCCAGCACACTTCTCTTGATTACCCTAAGAAAAGTGCTTGCTTTACCACATTCTGGTGGTTTAACAATATATTTTGTTTATTTAATAAATGGCTTATTCGATAGTAATCAAACATGCCTCAACAGCCTCTCTGGATTTTCTAAATAAAAATGTCTAATAGTGGTTTGGTTCTTTTGCAGGGCATGTCACAACAGCATTTGTTCTTGCAGGCTCTTTAAATAAATAGTTAACATATTGTAGAGTTATTAATATTATTAATTTATTAGAATCTTCTATAATTTTATTTTTTTCAATTTACGAAGCCAAGCATTAAATCCACAGGTGGAATATATGAAATTACTGTACATGTCTTTATTTATTTGTACTACTTTCATTTTTTGTTGAAAAGTCTTAACCCTACTCAGATAGGGCCGTACACTCAATGTGAGTTAATGTGCACTTAAACAAAAAAAAATATGTTGTTAGTTAGATAGTTGATTTTTTTTGTAAAGAATATTTGTATAAATGAAATCAGATATTTACGTCTCAAGAATACCGCATCATGTTCTGGCACCAGACTGAGTTCCTCCTCTCCTCTCCAGAGCTTTGTTTTGTTTTTGTTTTTGTTTTTGTTTGTGTTTTTGTTCTTGTTTTGTTTGTCGACCTTACTCATAATGTAAAGCGTCTTTGGGTCTAGAAAAGCGCTATATAAATCCCATTTATTATTATTATTATTAGAGCTCTCGGTGAACACGGCGCAGTTCGCCAAGTCGGCGGCCATGTTGGGGAACAGCGAGGACCACACAGCTCTGTCCCGGGCTCTGTCCCAGCTGGCCGAGGTGGAGGAGAAGATCGACCAGCTGCACCAGGACCAGGCCAACGCAGACTTCTACCTCTTCTCTGAGTTACTGGGGGACTATGTCCGCCTCATCATCGCCGTCAAGGTACGAGTCTGAGGGTAGATTCACTCTGCACACAATAGTATACTGTATGCCAGGGCTTCTCAAACTCCGGACCAAGGTCCGGATCCGGACCGAACTGCAAATCAATCCGGACCGAACCCTGTGTCCCATTATAAAAAAATTTTAAAAATTACAATTTTTTTTTTTT